AAAACACACACAGTCTGCAAAGCACCAATGCTTAAATCTGGGTGTTTGTTATTGTTGTTCTTCTTTCTTCTCCGTTTTCTTTTTCTACTTAGAATCTTTTTTAATTTTAAATGCTACTGAGAATGTGAAATCATTTACCTAGTCATTAACAAACACTTCTCACTCCGTCTCCCTAGAAGCCAGGTCCTAGGCTAGGAGCTGGGGATACAAAGATGGACGTAACGCTCTCTGCTCTTGTGGAACTCTCCAGAAAGTGTAGTCAAAATGGATATTCGTAATTACACATGAAGAGATACACATAATAGTGTGAGAACATCTCACGGGCCAGCCTTGGACAACAGAAGAGTCTTCGGAAGTAAGGTTTCCTTCTGAGATGATGAGGAGGAAGCCAGAAGCACGCACTATTCAGCATTACCTAAGCATGTAATAATCCTTGCACAGCCAAGAACTAAACCATATTCAGCAAAAAAGGCACCGAGTCTCCCAGTATAATCCTTTAATCTGGTGCTACTCAAAGCATAGTCCGTGGCCCAAACTGTTACTGTTTAGCAGAAAAAAGTACAGAAGTTTCCAAGCATTTAGAAACTTTTGTACCAATCTGGCATTGCCACAACATCTAAATTTATGTGATCGGTGGATAAGTAGAGAACAAAAGTATAAGGATTCTTAACGGATTGAAAATAAGAAAATAAAACAAAAAAGGCAGGGGTGAGGGGGGACTGGTTCCACACAGTGTAAGAAGTACTGTTTTAAAACTCCTTGGGTAAGGATCTTTGGCGAGTGCCAAAAATGAGTTTGGAATGAAATGCAATGGCAGCGACTGGTTTATAACTTAGCAGAGAAGCTCCAAATTCCGACGTCTCTTAAAGCTCTCTACAAACAAAACGTCCGAGAGCTCTTAGCAGATTATCATCCTTGACAGTGTCTGAAGGAGCACCTGGAGAAAAGGGCCTCTGGGTCTCCATAACCGGGTGTGGAGGCAGGGGAGATGGCAAACCCAAAAGATCTAGAAAACACCCCTCCTCAATTAATTCTACTTTGAGGCAGGAAACAGACAGGCCAGCCAATGACTGCGGGAGAAAAAGGACGGTGTGAAATGGCAGTGCTGAGGTAAGTCGGCAGTCCAAACACAACGGCCTCCCTTATGTAAGAAACCACAGCAGAGTGCAGGCCGCCAGAGGAAAATAATGTGCCTCTGTGCGCGAGGGACTGAGCGAGCTGCAGAGCCCAGGATGCACTTAGAGTTTATCTAAGCCATGTACGCACGCTCTGTTAATGAGCGTTTGGTTCCCAAAGTGGGCTCGGTGCTGATAAAAAACAGATGCAGGGCCAGCTGATCAAAGTGGCCTCACTCCCCACCGCCCACTGCCTGGACCACTATCTCACCATGTCTCCTGAGCCTTCCTGGCACCCCCTTCTTTGATGCACATTTGCAACCTGAAAATGCCACACCCTTCCAGTTGGCTTCTTTCATGTTAATTAAATTTCAAAGTACAGAAAGCTGGAGGGTTTGGACGCAGGGAGAGAGAAAAGGGACGAGGGGTGCCCTGTTTGTGGGCTTCCACAGCCCAGCCTCCAGGAGCCTTCAGTCCTTAAAACATGCAGACGTGTGTAACCTCTTCAAGACCAGAGTCGCAACTATTGCAGAAAGGCAACACAGCAACCAGGAAGATGGGCCCTTGGGATCCCCAAGTGAACCTGCTCTATCGCTCAGTTGAGCAGATGAGGTTGGGAAGAGACAGTCGGCTGGATGCCTTGATAAAGCAGGGCTGCGTGGCTCAGAAATGCCTTAGCAAAGAGGACACACGCCCCGCCGTATCTGCCAGTGCACAAGGACCCCTAGTGAGCAGGGAAGAGCGTCCCCCACCCTGTGAGAGACATATTTCAACCCAAAGCCAGTCAAACCCAGTGGGTGACAGCCTTCCACTGTTGCCTCTGGGAAGAAAGTGCAATATTCCTGTCACAGTTGCTATTTGAAGCATCAAAGAAGCAGAACACATTCATGCAGGTGGAAGAAAAAAAAAAGATGGCACTTAAATTTATTCATTACAAATACATCTGGGGGGCCTACTTTGTGTCAGGCTCCTGTCACCATGACTTTTATAGCCCACCGGGGCAGAGAGATGCGAAAGAAGCAAATACACTTTGTGAGAAGAGTTACAGTAGGCACGGCAGTTCGACCTTGTCTGCCAGGGATCAAGGAAGGATTCCCAGGGGAAGTGCTGACTGATTAATGGAAAAAACAGTGAGTGTTAGGAAAGAGCGACCTGCATGGTGAAGGGTCCTAAGTCCAGAGAAAGGGAGGTCCATCTGTCAAACCAACCTAAGTTATTAAGGCTGGAGCTTAGAGAGCAAGGCAGAGAGAGTCTTCCATGGAAGGTCGGAGGGGTAGGTGGGGTCATATGGTGTGGGGCTTTTTAGGCCTGATTAAGGATTTGAGAATTTATCCCCATCGACAGTAGGCAGCCGTGGTAGCATTCTCGGTGTGAAATGTCATTATTCAGAGGTTGATTTAAAAAGGTTAAAATTACGTTTAAGAAAAAAAAAAGGGGGGGGGGCGCCTGAATGGCTCGGTTGGTTGAGCGTCCGACTTCGGCTCAGGTCATGATCTCACGGTCCGTGAGTTCGAGCCCCGCATCAGGCTCTGTGCTGACCACTCAGAGCCTGGAGCCTGTTTCAGATTCTGTGTCTCCCTCTCTCTCTGCCCCTCCCCTGTTCATGCTCTGTCTCTCTCTGTCTCAAAAATAAATAAACGTTTAAAAATAAAAATAAAAATAAATAAAATAAAATACAATACAATACAATACAATACAATACAATACAATAAAATAAAATAAAATAAAATAAAATAAAATGGTTAAAATTGGTCTCCTGACTCCTAAAGCCAAGATACCAGGAGTAAAGGAATAACCGCTCTTGTCTGGATCTCCTGAACTTGTAAAGAAGCTGGTGTGGTGATGGTAGGTCTGTGGCTTGGAAGGGTCACTGCAGGAGGCATGTCCTCTCCGACTTGCCATCACAGAGCAGTGAACCGGAAACATGCCATCCTCATGCCACACACCCAGCAGCCCTGGTGGCAATCTCCAATCTCCTGGGCCTGAGCCAGCCTGCAAAGTACCGAGCTCCCTACTGTCTTAGGGGTTGCTGCCTTAGGATGGAAAACTGGGTCTCAATACCCTTCTCCAGACTGTCATACATGTCCCACACAGGGGACCCACACACGGATCTCATCACATTCTAAATGCTCTAAGGAAAAGAGAGTGTTCAAACTCTACCTCAGAAAAGTGTTCAGCCTCTGGCAGAGGTGGGGGTGGGGAATCGGCTTCCCTGGGCTGCTCCATCTGCCAAACTCAGAATAAAGAGTGTTTTCAGAGCCTGGAGTTTTCCAGCTGCCTGGAAACAGGAAGAGCCCAATCCCAGAGAACAGTAACCCTCACACACACCCTACATAAAGACATGTTGAGCCATTAGCCCTAATTGCCTGTGACTGACACAGGAGTGAAGCCGGCCTTCCAGGCATTTGCTCAGCGAAAAGAAAACAAACAGCTCACAGGGGACACGAGCAGCCATTTTCTCTCCTTTCTGCCAAAATGATTCTGCTCTGTTCCCCCCAAATTACAGCATACAGATTTGAAATTACAAACCAAACAAAGGTCTTTCTAGTATCCTTTACCACATATAAAAGAGAAAATAAATCTCGGTAGGGAAGAGCTGGACACAAGCAATTGGTTATTAATCTTCTCGCAAAATCAAAAACTTCACAAAAACTTTTCAGAGGCACCTCTCAATACCCCAATTCTCTCCAGGTTTGAGGTATTAGAAACTATTTGCAATACTCTTCATTTATTCATACTTTATTAAGAAATATGTTAGGTAGTATGCCAAATGCTAAGGATGTGATATGTATGTGGTAAAAATCACATCTGCCTTCAGATTTACGATTTTTGTTTCTAACAAGTGGGTTTTCTAAAGAGGTTTAAGAACACATGGCATGTTATACATCAAGCTAGAGACCATGCGTCCTTCCCCTGTCCCTTATGAATTAATTACAAGGGTACAGAGGACCCACCTACATGCCACGACCACCACCACCACCACCACCAGCAGCAGCCAGACCACAGCGACTGTGGTGATATGGACACTGGTTTCCTCAGTACCAAACTGATAACTAGGATGGACCCTGGGACGACAATAGGACGGGCCCTGACTATGACTGGTAGTTGCTGAGATAAGACTTCATTTCTCAGTTCAGAACCATTTCCTTCCTTTATGGCTCTTTCACAGCCAATTCAAAAATATTCACCAATTGGAACATCCTCCATTGGGTGAGCGCTTCACACATACCCTTAACTTCCTGTAGAGCTATGCATGATTGTTAATCCCCCCTTACACAGACGGTAAGCCATTTGAGCAAGGTCACATAGGGTCCAGTGGGGATTTGAAGCCAGATTGATTTGATTCCCAGGTCCATGCTTTAATCTCTATTTGCTACCTAGTCAAACTGGAACTTCCCTTGGTCTTAGTGGAGCCATCTTCTTATCATCCAAGGTCTTTACTGTCTAAACCATAGGATGGCAAGAAAACTAGTAGTTCATGTTAATTACCATCAGCCCCGGCTACAGGAGTAATACACAGTAATATTCAGAGCCTAAAGCCCTCTATAGACTGTTAAGATAAAGAGAGAAAAGCTGTTTTCTAAGCAGGATCTAGGCAAACACCCTCCAAAGACTAAGGAAGGCAAAATGAGCTCCTTGTTCCATAAAAGCCACACTCTTTTTTCCAAGTCGTGGTATAAGGTAGCATTGATTCTGCCCCTGATGATTTAGATTCTTTTTAAGATTTATGGAGAACGAGCAGGTCTTCTACACCTCCCTCGCTCCTATGCATGGCAGCGTCCCCAGAGACCACGAGCCACGAGGTAATAAATAACCACGTTGTTTCTGTCCTAGCGAAGGAGCCTCAGATTTGAGTGGGGGTAGCACTGCTGGAAGGCTACTCACCCAGCAGGCAGAGCATCGAGGGCCTGAGCAGACGCCGGGAGCTGCTGTGTGCCTGAAGTGCTGGGCTCCTCGCCTTCCGCCGGTGTGGCTGGAACAGGGAGAGACACTGCAGTGGGGTTCGGGGTCACACTCGACACCGCAGCAGGCGAGGGTGCCACACCAACAACAGAGGACTCTTCGGGATCAGTGGCTGCAGAGGGTTCATCATTCACTGGAAGTACAGATCATATTCAAGAGATCGACTCAGACTTGTGTTCACGTTTACTAGATTTTTCACTTAAAGTGGTAACACAGTACCTTATAATTTTACCATGCATGTATCTGGTGACAGCAAAAAGTTCTACAAAACATAACTTTGGAAATGAGAGCAAGTCAGTAATGGCCTGTCCCCACTCCCTCCCCACCCCCACCAAAAAAAATCGGGAGATGGATCTGAAATAAATATATTAAGTGTTACCTCTTTTTTATACTTTCATTGAATTTTTCTAACATATTATGATCACATACTGCAATAAAAGAGTAGCAGGAAGGAGGGTAACAGGGAGGTGTGTTGGTGCTAAATGAAGCAAGCCAATGCCACGTTTATAGGGTCATATTCCTCTCTTTAAACTTGTCATTTGTCTGCTGGGTACAAATGGTAACTTCCTTCAAAAAGCTCTCTCTACTCGCAGAGGCCAAAATTTCCAACAATGTGTTTGTTCTTTCAAAGACTCATGCTCAAAGTACGGAACAAAGATGAATACTGCAGATGAAAAAGATGGGCTCTAAAGATAAAGGACTTGTCTTCAAGATAACAATAGACAAAGAGACAGAAGTCAAATAAGCCTGTTCCGAGACTCCTTATTTCTCCATTTCTTTATTTCTTTGATGACCACTCATGTTCACAAGGACTCCAAGACACTGCAATATCCTCCCACTCCAAAAGGGATCAAAGTTTCCGAAGAATTCTGCGAAAGTAGATAAGCCATAGGCAGAGAATTTTCTATATGTGATTGCACATATGCACATTTGTACTAGAATTTTGTAGGAAAACCTCTTAGGTGTGATTTCAGCTCATCTGCCTAATTCAGAAATTCTTTTTGCAGTTTCTTTTTTTTTTTTTTTTTCAACGTTTATTTTTATTTTGGGGACAGAGAGAGACAGAGCATGAACGGGGGAGGGGCAGAGAGAGAGGGAGACACAGAATCGGAAACAGGCTCCAGGCTCTGAGCCATCAGCCCAGAGCCCGACGCGGGGCTCGAACTCCCGGACCGCGAGATCGTGACCTGGCTGAAGTCGGACGCTTAACCGACTGCGCCACCCAGGCACCCCTCTTTTTGCGGTTTCAAATGCAACAAACGTACTATCTAGATTCTTCTTACACACTTCGTCTGACAGGAGCTTGCTACAGAGCCATTCCATTGTTGAACAGATGTACCTGCCGGCAGGTTTTCCTCATGTTAAGTAAGTGGATTCCATTAACTGATCTTAGCCCCCAGCCCCACGCAGTGCAGACTAAGTACCCGGCCACCCCCTTTCTCATCCACCTTCTCCAGTTAGAAGGCCTGCTCTTGCTTTAATGTTTCTAGGCCCTTCCCTTCTTATCACCAGGCTGCTTTCTTCTAGGTATCTTCTTCTACTGCCTCTCCTCAATAATGACAGCAGGAACGGAACAAAATAAATCAGATCCCATCAGACCAGCGCAGTCAGCTTTCTGATAGAAGTGGTATTAGTTAACTTGTACAGAACCCCAGTGTATGCCAGGCAAAGTGCAAAGCATTTTGGATTCTCTCATGTTAGCCTCACATACAACCGTACACATTCGGTACAATTAACATCCCCAGTTTACAGTTGTGGCAACTGAGGCTCAAAGAGGTTAAAGAACCTGCTGAGGTTGCCGGGCACCTAATTCACACCCCGACTGCCTGCCTCCAGAGCCTGAACTACTCATTTACCATGCTCTGCTTCTCCCTCTTGGCACATCCTCTAAAGCAAGCCAAGATTGTAACAACTCTGAAGCAACCATATAATCTTCTTAGCTAACCTGAGACTGGTAACCAGCTGAAACCAAAATTTCTTCACAGGCTGTGATGCCGCTTGATCTTAAGAAATGGAAAAGAGCCTAGGGACTACCCGTGATCAATCCATTTGCTTTCCCCCCAGTGTATGAAATACGGTCTGGCACACATCAGCTAAATTAGTTATTTAATAAATAGCTCCATCTCATGCAACTGGTGTTTCCCCAACACAAATGCAAGACTTCATACTTCTATTTCCTATTCTATCTCAGCCGAATTAGTAAAACACAGCAGATGACAATTCTCTTCATACAAATCTATAAATTTTACTCAATTCCAATACAAAAAAAAACCATCACATTTTTGAGAACTAAATAAATTCATTCTAAAAGTTATAAGAAAAACTAGGGGCTCTGAGTGGCTCAGCTGGTTAAGCTTTGGCTTAGGTCATGATCTCTCAGTTTGCGGGTTTGAGCCCCACATCAGGCTCTGTGCTGACAGCTCAGAGCCTGGAGCCTGCTTCGGATTCTGTGCCTCCCCCTCTCTGTGTCCCTCCCCAGCTCACACTCAGTTTCTCTCTCTCTCTCAAAATTAACATTAAAAAATTTTTTTTTAATTTTAAAAGTTTTAAGAAAAACTAAATGCAGAAGAACAGCCACCAAAATTCTAAAGAAGAGTGTTGTGGAGGGACAGGTAATTCTCTAAAGTATTAACACACCATCAGGCCACAACAATTAAAACAATGTGGTACTGATACACGAATAAGCAGATGGTGATGAAATTAATAAGGAACTCCAGAAACAGAATTAAATACACATAAGAATTTAGTATATGACAAAGGTGGCATTTTAAATGACTGCAGTAAAGAGATTATTCAATAAATATTGCTGTGATGACTGGGTAATATACTGGGGAAAAAATGAGTTTTATCCCTACCTTACTCGTTTTATGAAAATGAGTTCCACATGAATCCAAAATTTTGACATAAGAAATGAAACTTAAAAGGAAGTAAACAGAGGAGGTTACTTTTATCTCAAAGTGTAAAAGACTTTTTGAAGTATCACACAAAATCAAGAAGACATAAAAGATGGATGAATTCAACTACATTAAAGTTTTTTTTAATTTAAGTGGCAAAAAAAAAAAAAATCACAAGCAAAATCAAAATCAAAGAAAAACCAGTTGGGGAAAATTATTACCAACCCATATTACAGACTAATGGCTAATTTCTTTGATATGAAAAGAACCTCTACAAATCAATTAGAAAAAGACCAAAAACATGCACAGATACTTCAGAGTAGAGGAAATACAAATTACCTCTAAACGTATTAAAAGATGCTCAATTTCAATTACGAGATGAGAAATGTAATTGAAGACTATGATGAAATACCATTGTTTAACCTATCAGATTGGTAAGAACAAAAATAGTTAACCGCACGCTCATAAGTGTGTAGGAAGAACTGGCATTTTCACCTATCACTGGTAGGAGTAGAAATTATTAGAACATCTCTGGAGAACAGTTGGCAATATTAAAAAATTTAATTTTTTTATTATTTAATTTTGAGAGAGAGAAAGATGCGAGGTGGGGGGGGGGGTAGGCAGGCAGAGAGAAAGAGAGACACAGAATCGCAAGCAGGCTCCAGGCCCTGAGTTGCCAGCACAGAGCCCAACGCGGGGCTCAAACTCAGGAATGGTGAGATCATGAGCTGAGCCAAAGTCAGGCGCTTAACTAACTGAGCCACTCAAGCACTCCAGCGATAATGAGAAATTTAAATGCATTCATAGGGAGGTGGGGGGGGGGGAGGGAAGTGGGGATGGGTGTGGAGAACAGAGGTGGGGGAGGCCTGTAGATGAAATTAAAACAGCCATGAGCCAATAATATTTAAAGACCGGGGTTAGATTCATTATAATATTATTTTTACTTTTATAAACTCAATGTTTGTGACACAGATGGACTTTGCATACCTCCATCAGGAGGCACAGAACATCTGGTTATCACCCTTTGGCAATGCTAGCAGCCGCTGGTGATTATTACCTAAACCTAAATTGGCTGTGGACTGCAAAACAGTTATATTCTAATTCTATCATTGCCTGTAAGAGAAACTGTCCCTCATCAACTCTTTGGCTACCTTGAGGTTCAGTTTGTAAAGAAAAGGCAGGAGAAATGCTTGAGTCTTTCCTTTTACTCACTGGTTTCCAAAAATGAACAGTGAAATTCTGTTTTGTGTAAAGATCATTCATTATGAGCTCTTGGATTTAAACATATTTAAAATAGTCGAATCCACGGTGATTACTGTTTTTTTATGAGACTAAAATTGTCCCCATCTCTGGCTGGGTTTAGCAGAGAAGGAAAGAGGCAAAGCTCTTCAAGTTTGCTTCAGATTCTATGCGAACATTTCTAAGATAATTATTAAATGCGAAGGTGCAGAACAGCATATATATTGTGCTACCGTGTGTGTGTGTGTTTTCAAAGAATTTGTGTGCATATGCTTGTACAGTCAAAGAATAGCTTTGAAAGAATCATAAGGAACACAACAGTGACTGCCTCCGGGGAGGAAACTGGAGGCTACAGGACCGGAACAGGAAGGACACTTTACACTGTTTGAGCTACTTATACTTTTAAAATTTTCAGAATGTACATGTACTACCTGTTAAAAATAATTATTATGAGACTGTTGACCAGGAAAAGAACGAAAGCAGAGGCCCATTTTCCATGCCAATGGAAAAGACCCTCCAATCTAGTTAGAAGGGTTCCCACCAGGGCACCTGGGTGGCTCAGTGAGTTAAGCAGCTAAGCGTTGACTCTTGATTTCCACTCGGGGCATGATCTCACGGCTCATGGGATCACCATCCGACTCTGAGCTAAAGCCTGCTTGGGATTCTCTCTTTCCTTTTTTCTTGGGTTCTCTCTCTCTCTCTCAAAATAAATAAATAAATATATAAAAAAAAAAAAAGAGAGATCCATTTCAAAAAAAAAAAGGGGGGGCTCCCACCAGGATTGTATCTGTCCACAGACCCACCCGAGAGCCTGGGATCCACCACAGTAGCTCATCTGTTTTGAAGCTTTGTGCTATGCTCTGATTTGGAAATAGAGTATGAGAGCCAGGTATCCTCGAGCTGACAACTTTGTGTCCGTGCTTATACTCTCCTGTTCTCAAAAAGTGTATGTGTGTGTACACATGTACACACATTCTTAGAATGTGAGAGCTTGAAAGAA